GAGGGTACATGTTCTGATGTTCTTTTCATCACCTTTACCCCTTCCTCAAGATTTTGACTCAGGTGAAATTAGCACCAAAATCCCATTACATGATCTCAGCAGAGTTGATGTACAACAGGAGGTTTCAAAATTCCCGGACAATTATTCTGACTCCCTTCCTCTAATTTCAGTTCCTTTCCCTGCAACACAGTCCACTGAACACTCTATCCCTTCACATTTTCCATCTCCTACTCCTACTATTAGACACAGTACCAGGACAAAAACTAAACCACCTTGGCTCCAAGACTTTGTTACCAATATAAACAATACACAGGTTCTGCCAACTGCTGATCATGCTTCACTTTACAGGACTGCATCATCTGTTTCAACAGGTTACTCACCTTCCACTTTTCCCTATCATGTTTTACCATATCTAAGTCCATCATATGCTGCATTTATAGCTAACTTATCATTTGTCCAAGTGCATACTTCTTATAAACAGGCTAGTCAAAATAAAGATTGGACTCAAGTAATGCAAACTGAACTTGATGCACTTGAGCGAAATCACACCTGGGAATTGACTCCTCTTCCACCTGGGAAGAAGACTATTGGCTCACGATGGGTTTATAAGGTTAAATTGCACCCAGATGGTACGGTTGAAAGGCTCAAAGCGAGACTTGTTGCCAAGGGATACCATCAATTTCAGGGGGTGGATCATTTTGACAGTTTTTCACTGGTGGCAAAAATGGTCACTGTAAGACTGCTTTTTGCTATAGTGACAGCTAAGAAATGGGTTTTACATCAGCTTGATATTAACAACGCTTTCCTCCATGGATTCTTAGACGAAAAGGTATATATGCTGCCTCCTGATGGTTTTCATAAGGCACTACCAGGTCAAGTTTGTAAGTTAAGACGCAGCTTATATGGTTTGAAGCAAGCGTCACGATAGTGGAATACAGAACTCTGTTCTAAACTTCTTAGCTTTGGCTTTCACCAATCTGAATACGATCACTACCTGTTTGCAAAACATCAGTCGAATAGAATCCTAATTCTTTTGATTTACGTTGATGTTGTCCTTGTTACTGGTTCGGATGAAAACGACGTTATTACTGTCAAACAATACTTGGATCAAGCCTTTACTATTAAAGATATGGGCTATGCAAAATATTTCCTGGGCCTCGAGATTGCTCGAAGCAGTGAGGGAATGTATGTCAATCAGAGAAAGTACATTCTTGATTTGATTCAAGATGCAGGTTTAATAGGAGCAAAGCCGACTCAGGTGCCAATTCCAAAAGGGACTAAACTGATTAGTCAAGCAGGTCCCTTACTTCAAGAACCAGAACGATATAGGAAATTAATTGTGTGACTCCTTTACTTAAATTTGACACGACCTGATATTACTTATGGTGTGCAGCAACTTAGCCAGTTTGTTCATGCCCCTTGTGAATCACATTGGAATATTGCTTTGCATCTACTTAGGTATCTGAAAGGGTGTCCTTTAAAAGGACTTTTCTTCCCTGCACAATGTTCCCTTAAATTGCAGGCTTATGTTGATGCAGACTGGGCTTCCTGTCCAGATTCAAGGAAATCACTCACAGGATATTGTGTCTTTTTTGGTTCTGCACTTGTCTCTTGGAAAACAAAGAAGCAAACTACAGTTTCACGTTCTTCGGTAGAGGCAGAATACCGTAGTATGGGTAGCACAGTCTGTGAGTTGCAATGGATTACTTATATCCTGAATGATCTTCACATTCCATTCACACTCCCTATTTCCTTATGGTGTGATAACAATGCTTCTTTGCACGTCACCGCGAATCCAGTGTTCCACGAACGCACAAAGCATTTGGAGATTGATTGCCATCTGGTTCGGAATCTGTATAAATTTGGATTCCTTCTCTAATAGTATTCCTTCCGATGCTCAACTTGCAGACATCTTTATGAAATCTTTTGCTACACCTCATTTTCATCGTCTTCTTTCCAAGTTGGGGTTGGGTGATTTACACCAACCTCCATCTTGAGGGGGGGATAAAGGATTATCTGATCATCAGCAGAGTTGATGGATCAACTGAAACCAGGTTACAGCAAACATAGCCAGCCCAATCCGTTGAGAGGCCCAGCCCAATTCTAGTAAATAAAAGAGATAAAACGTGTTCTACCTTTATTGTTTCAGCTCGCGTTTTTACTCCATTTTCTGTTATTTTGTTAGAGCTTAGTTGTCCTTTTCTAATTGGTTTTCACGGTTTTCTCTCCATCTATATATGATGGAGATCACTTACATTGTAGCTCGATTTTGAATGATTTTTCCACAGAATACCAATTACTTTTATTTTGTTCAATATTTGTCTTGAATATTTAAGTATTATAACAATTTATAAAATATATCAATATTATAGTCAGCTCGTATTAAATAACATAAATTGAGCTTAAGAAGAAATTATTTTAAACTATTTATATTCAAGTTATTTTGATAGAAAGTAAAGTTATATAAATTCTATATTTTATTAATAAAATAATGAAAGGGGAAACTTTCATTTTGAATTCACCTACGGCTCCTTGGAAATTGAAAAGGGGTATTAAAAATTTAATAAATTAAACATAATTAATTAATTAATTTTAATAATACTTAGTCTAATTAATCCCATAAAACTTTTAAATTACCTCGAATACATTTGGAATTAAGGCCATGCTTGCTGGGATCGCTTTCCCTTGGAAAATGGAAAATTTTTCCTCCTTTGTAGAAAAAAGGTTGAACCCTGCCACGCCCCGCAGGAATATCGTGGAGGAGGTAAATCGCAGGATGTGCCTCATCAGGTCAGGGTACAAGAGCTTCCATACTGGTGCCCACAAAGAGTCAAATTTCATGCCTTGTAAGAGGTAGGAATCGAACCTTCACACTGCCGCTACTAGCTCAGCTAAGACTACCATCACTGAGCTATGCTCCGAGGGGCTTTCCTCCTTTGTAGATGTTTGATGGCCAATATTTTACATGTAAAAAGTTTTCTTTGCCGCAATTTCACGCTCCCATTTTCCGAAAATTTGGTGAATTGGTTTTCCAATTGTTTTTGCTGGAATTGATTTTCCAGGTGGTTGTTGTTTTTTTATTTATTATTATTATTGTTATTTTTGCAATTGGATAAAATTCTAGATACAATGGTAAAAAAAAATCATTTTTATTGACAATTTTCATACAAAATAAAGACAAACGAATGATACTTGGTATGGTAATTATTTAAAAAAAATTTAATTTTTGTTTTTGAAAGTAGAACAAATTCTAGACCCAATGGTAGAAAAATTGTCACTTTAATGGACAATTTTCATGACAAAAAAATCAAACGAATACCAAACTTTCAACATTTTTCAAGTGGAAAATTATACTAATCAAACACAATTAATTACAATTTCCAAGAAAATAAATTTTAGGCAATTCAATTCTCAATAAAATATTTTCTTTTCACCCATTTTTTGCATTTGAAATCAAATGGGTCCTATATGAATAAGCTAAAAATCTTTTTGTCTTACTTGGAGTTACGTGTGTGCGCCAGAAAATTTTACGTATATGATGATAGAGTTTCCTTTTAAAACACAGAACTTCATTTTCTTTCTCACACACAAAATATTGAGTGTTCCCACTTTAAAAATTTCACAAGTTCATTTTTTTTTTTTTACAATTACATACACGTACACTGCACAGTTGAAGGGATTTCATCTTTATATTATTCCACAAGTCATATTTTCATAATTATTTGGTATCAAATTGAGGTAAGAATACTTTGTGCTATTGGTAAATTCTTATTTCCTTGATATTTTTATAGATGTTGGCATGAATACTCTAAGGCATTCAGGTCGATGTGGACGCTTGGAAGATTGACCGAGTGATGCTTATGGGATCGCCAAGTAAACTTTTTAGAAATGATAAATTTCAAATTCTTATTGAAGAACATTTTATGTTAAATTTTAAATTTGTGGTTTTGAATTCGCAGTGTATAAATTGTTGGTTTAATTTTTATCGATTTATCGATCAAATCACAAGATTTGAATAAAAGTTAATTTCCGCTTAAATTAGATAAAGTAGATTTTTGGTAACACTTCAAGTCTTTTTTTTTTTTT